CAGCGGATTTATTATCAATCAAAAGAAGTTTTGATGTTTCTCTTGTTTGCAGCAGAAGCTCTAGCAACGTTTGCACTGCCCTCTGTGACCTTTGATGGTTGCACATTTAGATAAATCAAAAGTCCTGAGGAGCCTTACATTTACCTGGCTTGGTGATAATAAATTATTTGAATAAAACTAAACATGCATGAAACTGATAATACAAACAATAAATACTTCATAACATGCAAACAAAATTACTAAACGCAAAATTATTTTTTCTTTTTTCATTTTGCACCACAGCACCACTTTTTTGTCCAGTGCAGTAATATTTTACTGGCTTGTCTCAAAAAATGATTTTCTAGCTGTAAGTACATGTTTTTGTAGGGATTATGGCCTGTATTTGTATAGCACCTTCTTAGGGTGCTACAACCTCCCTTCCCCCCCCCCCCCCCCCCCCCCCCCCCAAAAGCGCTTCACAACACAATCAGTCATCCACCCATGCACACACACATTCACACGCTGGTGATGATGAGCTACAAAGTAGCCACAGCTGCCCTGAAATTCACTGACAGAGGTGAGGTCTGCCATACAATGGGTTAAGTGTTTTGCCCAAGGACACAACATTCTCTGGCAGGAGGTGGGATTTAACGTGCAACCTTCCAATTACTGGACAACCTGCTCTGCCTCCTGAGCTTCTGCCTGCAATAATTATTTGACCTTTCTGCAAAGCAACTATTGTCATTTAAAACATTAGGGTTTGTTTGTTTGATGATCTGGTGCTGTTTATGTGGCTCGATGATGCATATTGTTTCTTTCATATTTTAAAATCCTAAAACTTAAGAACTGGTAAACGAGGAGATCATGTCCCACTGCATCAACTTCAAAATCAAGCTGATACCAGACACCAGCAGTGTGTGTGTGTGTGTGTGTGTGTGTGTGTGTGTGTGTGTGTGTGTGTGTGTGTGTGTGTGTGTGTGTGTGTGCACGTGCATGCTTGCGTGTGCAGACTTTGGGCAACACTTGGCTGTTGAAGGCCATGTGTGAGAAAGAGAAAAAAAAGTGAGAAAGCGCTGCAGGGCAGACAGGCATGCGACCAAGATCCACGCCTCCACACACACACACGTGCACACGCACACACATGTGCACGTGCACACACACGCACAGAGGCATGCACAAATGCATAAGCACATAAACACTCCTGCTTTCCTGCACACTCGGCCCCCATGCTCTGAGCCGAGTGGGCAGTTGCAGCCCAGTGGAGCGGCAAAGGGGGGGAGGTTGGGGAAGGGGGGTGGGGGGGTTGCACAGAGGGTAAAAGGCGGCGAGGTGGAGGAGAGGCCGCTAGCTCGGCGCTGGGAGGTCAGTGCCGGTGCACTCAGGCGTGCAAACGTGCCTCTTGCTCTCCCCTCTCCCTCTTGTTTCTTCCTCCTTCCTCCCTTATTGTGAGTGTTTGTTTAGGCCCACAGAGGTTGCCACAGGAAAGCTGCAGACAGGTAACGACTGCGCCTTTCTTTCCCTGACAAACACAGGGGGAGTGAAAGGCTGAAGTAGAGCTTTAGTTAGTAAAGAAAATGAAAATTTCTCCTCTCTTTGGTCCCATTAAGAGCTCGTTTTCACCTTGACAAGACATCTCATTTATAGTTTAGCTCAGCTAATTCCAAATAGGCTCATAAATACGCCAGACTTTTTCATTCCAGTGAAGAGTTTTAGTTAAGCTGTTAGAAAGAGTGTAAAATGAAAGACACTTAAATTTGCCTGAGCTACAAAATCAACACAATCCAAACTAATCGAAAAGGCCTCATTCAAACAGTTTCTGGCCTCAAAGATGATGTACTCTGTGATTAAATAAATGATAATTACATATTTGTTGTGCTAACATACAACATAATAGTGCTGTGCAGATATATGCATTGGTAAAAGTATTTTAGTGAGAATCAAATGCCCCAGAATGCAAACTTATTTCGTCACACTAGATGTTGGGGAGGAAGTTTTTTACAGGCATGATCACGGGCATCACAGCAATATACCACATTTGGCTAAAAGACAGGCGCTTTAACATACTAGAGTACACACCCAAACACACACTCATCAATCGCATCAATATACCCACACACACACAGCATGTGCGTCTACATTCAGCTCTCAGGTCTTAGCATCCTTCCCAAACAAGCAGCCGCTGAAGCTAATGGCTAATTAGTCCAACTAAGCTGTTTATTTGAAATAAATAATTCAGTCACAGAAGGAAAGCATCAGGCAGAAAAAGGGTTTTACGTGTGTGTGTGTGTGTGTGTGTGTGTGTGTGTGTGTGTGTGTAGGTGTGTGTGTGTGTGTGTGTGTGTGTGTGTGTGTGTGTGTGTGTGTGTGTGTGTGTGTGTGTGTGTGTGTGTGTGTGTGTGTGCGTGTGTGTGTGTGTGTGTGTGAATGATATATTTCCACATGACCTGCATACGTTCCAGTTCATTTTTGGTCCTTACGAAACAGTGACATATTGCACTTTCTGCCCGGGGCTCGCTCAATGTCTAATTGGTCCGATACGCAAAAGAGACACACACTAATGGGCACAAATTTAGTTGGCATCACAACAGCTCTGCACACTTCTGGGCCAATGACCGATTTTTGGGTTACCATAGCAACATTGGGTAAGCAACATATAAATAATAACATGCAGCAAAGTACTCGGCTATAATAGATGGTCAACATGAGCTGAATCCTTCGTATTCAGCATAGAACCATCTGGAGAACGTGTGGAATTTGTAAGGAAAAGTGTGTGCTGTCTTTTGTGTTTGTGTCTTCATGCAGATGTGTGTGGCTGTGTGTTCGCCTCCACTCTGCAAGAGGAGCCCTTGATTGGAGGAGTTCTTCACAAGCCGGAGGTGGGGAGTGCAATTTCCTCCCGGCCTCCGCCAGTTCCGCTGAAATAACAGAGCAGAGGAAGCCCAGCTCTCCCAGGAGGAGACACACATGCACACACTGATGTGCACACACACACGCACACACTTACAATACAAACCAAACGTACGCACAGGGGACAGCGCAAGAGAATTAACAGGAAACTTTTACATTCCACCTAATAATATCTACGATGATTGATAACACCTGATTATCAAACAGCTAAAGCATAAAATGATAGAATTAATCAATGCAAGGGCTATTAAAGTCTTCCCTTTTAACAGCTTGTGTTGTGACAAGCAGCTTGTGCTGCAAAACACGAGCAACGAATTAACCTCTGCGATTTCTGAGCAGGCAGGTGAAGCGTCTTCCCAGCAGCTGCGGCACTTTATGATCGCTTGCCTCATGCCTATAAGCGAAACAAGATCACTCAAAGTTCAGCCATCAAACTTTCAGAGTAAATGTTGGCGTGAGGTAATTTGTGTCAGTAGGCAGGCCCATGTGTGTGTGTGTGTGTGTGTGTGTACGTGCGTGCATGCGTGCGTGCGTGTGCGAGCGAGCTCATCACTGAGGGAGTGCTGGCTGCCATGCCCTAAGGGGAGTCAGTGGAGAGAGAGGGAGACGCCAGCACAGGCCACTGGTTTCCCTCTTCCATCTAACCCCCACTGCTTCACATGGAACATGTTTATCAGTGTGTGTGTGTGTGTGTGTGCGTGCGTGCGTGCGTGTGTGTATGTTTGTGTCACATTGATATTAACTTTGAGGGCTAGGCTTTGGGCTTCACTACCTTGCACAGGAAAAGGGAGAGCAGGACAGGAGTCTACAACAACAACAACCATAAGGCTCTCATATCTCTGCTTACGTAAGTAACAAAGTTTCCTCCGTCACAGCTGTAATTGAAGTAGAACCAAGCAGGCCATGGCAAGCCAAAAGCCAATCAGTCTGAAATCTGTAATGAGCCGAATCATAACCAAACACGTTGAGAATCCCAAATCCCTCAGAAAAAATAAGACATAAACGCTTCCACAGTCTCCTTCCTTCCTCCACCCTCCCTTGGGTAATTTATTTTGGCTGGAACCTTTTGTGTTAGGGTGTGTGTCTTCATTCTCAGCTGTAGGAAATGTCACCTGTTTACCTATATCACTCAAACACCTCCGGCTTATCAAAAACGCCTTTGCCTTGCGTGCCTCTCACACATTAATCAGCAGTAGCCACGCTCAGTAGCTCACTAAGCCTCTTACACCCTTCCCTCAAGATTAGTGCTTGGGAGCGACGACAGATGCGCTCCGTGGTGATAAAAACACACACACACACACACACAGCCCACTGCACCTGTGTGAACAGATTTGACGGTGTGCTTGCTCAAAGCTCGCACACACAAAAACAGCGTGGTGATGCCATAATTGTGACACACCTGCAAGGCCTGGAGGTTTGGCACTGCGCCGCTGGTTCGAGCCCCGAGGAAAACACAAGGCAAACAAAAGTTCAACGGCCAGGTGAGGAGGCTGATTCATTCAGACAGAAAACCGTCTGACCAACAAAGCAGCCTAAGTCAAGCAGAAATACAGTTTGTTGCTCAGTCTGTACGAATAAAAAAAGGTTTTCTGACCGTCTTTCTACAAAACACTGAAAGTGGATTTGATGTTCATGCTGACTGAGAATTACCATCAAAGTTGACAAGTGAGCTTGTAAGGTCTTCACTACAAAGGTCACACACGCAGACTGTAGTGTGACGACAGAGTACAGCAAAAAGGATGTCCCAGTGAAATATCAGTCAAACTGGTGCAGATTTCACAGAGATCTATCTGAATCACAACATCAGTGGGGAGAACCAAATCAGTCATGTGACTTGACTTTTTAATTCTTCAGGAAAGAAAAACCACAAACAACAAATAATGTTTAAACAAAATTAGTATTATATCGCTTCTCTTTGGTAGATTTGTGTCTGTTAAGAGATTGAAACCTTCATTACTTCTTATGTAGACTCATTCTTGATCACTTGAACAGGAATCTAGTTATCTTTAAGTTAAATAGAAACAATGTTTAAAATTATTTACCCAGATAAACTTAAAGACGAGAACGTGAGGGTTAACAGTGAAGAATCAGTATGAAAGATGAAGTGTTCTTACCACTGGAGATGAAATCCTGCAGCCAGGACAGTCACAGATAGGAGGGTGCACCTGTAAGATTCCTTTGGACATAAGAGTCTTCAGACTTTTTCCTGGGAAAAAAATTAGATGCTTGTCAGCCAACCATGTCTCCTGCATGACAGCATTTGAGTGGCATCTGTCTTCTTTTAGCATTTGATAAATCTCAACAGCAAATATGGTTTCCTGACACTCTGTTCCTGCAGACAACCTACCTTTGTGTGATGTTGAAGCTAATTGTGCCCACAGTCCTGGGCTGCTAAAGAGACAGGAGTCTACTGTCATCTGTCCAGATGAGTCATAATAAACTATTAGACTTTCGTTTTAGATCTGGGAGGGACACCCTCTCTGCATCTGTGTGTGTGTGTGTGTGTGTGTGTGTGTGTGTGTGTGTGTGTGTGTGTGTGTGTGTGTGTGTGTGTGTGTGTGTGTGTGTGTGTGTGTGTGTGTGTGTGTGTGTGTGTGTGAGATAAAGACCGCACGCACGGGGCATCGTTGCTGCATTAAATACATTTCGTTATAAAAACGCGTTTATAATTTTGCTTTAACTGCTGCAAGAGAAGCATAAAGCACCGATTCCTAAACTAAATATTCACCACCCAAAGTTACTTTAAACCCAACAAGCGCTACGTAAAAGCGCCATGCAGGAGTGTGGCAGAACTTTATGGTTCATCAGTTAGAAATAAGCATTATAGTCGGAAAGTTTAACTGTATTTTCACCTCAGATGACTGCAGCCGGTCCAGATGCCCCGGTGTGGTGTCTGTTCCAGCCCAAAGTCTGTGTCATAGACTCGGACAGTGCGTGGAGGATATGCGCCCTTAACTCATCTGCCTCCTTATACGCACTGACGGCTGTAACCCTTTCAGTCCAAACTGCGTTCCGGACCACCAGTCCCAACTTTTACATTCTGAGGTCCAGAACGCTTTAAAAGTAATAATCACCTTCCCAATCCAACCAAGGAGGAAACTTGGTGCTCTTACCTTTATGCCTGATACTCCGTTTCCAGTCTTTGGCGGTCTCGCGTCCACTGACGAACTGGAACTCGTTGGGGGTGAGCCACTCGCCCCTGTATTTAATTGAGGGTCCCTTACTGCCTTGACATAGTTTGTTAATATAAAGCAAAGCCTTGTTTTCCCCGCACTCCACCTCGATGCACGGCTCCCCGTTGTCGAAAAAGGGCTGAAAGTCAGGGATGGAGGAGAACCGCTCCAGCATTAAGTCGTCCGTGTGATGGTGGAGGTGCTGGTGATGCAGCGCCGAGTCGTGGAGCCCCAAGTACGCGCGGTGATGGGCGAAAATGTGCTCGTAGGGCGGCGGATGCGGGGTCACCACGGGGATGGCGGCGGCATTTAAAGGGGCCAGGTATTCGGACTGGTTGAACGCGGTCAGAGCCATGTCGTCTCCATCCAGCCGCTCCTTCTTGATGGCAGGCATGTTAGAGGGAGCCGCGCGCCGGGAACAAGTGAAAAGCTGCTCCGCCGAGCCAACTTCTGCGTCCTCTTCGCGTGCGAGTTGGGCTGACCCAGACTTGGAGACGCGCCGCTCGGTTTTACGCAGAGCTCCCGTGTCGCCGTGAGATAGCGCTCTGTTGAAGTTGCCGGATAGATTCCCATTCAGTAGTTTCCAGCTCGCAGCGGCAGCAGCGCACTCCGCCAGCCTCGCAAATCCTACCTCCCACATTTAATCTCACTCGCTCTGTTAATACCTGACATGCTGGGAAGCCCTGAGCACCACTGCGATCACTAGTCCCAACTCGTCCTATCTCAGATTTCTTTGCCTTTGGGGAAATTTAAAATGATTTATTATTATTCAGTTTGTTCTACAAAACAGTTTAAATCGGCAGTACAGCCTGCAAACCCCAAAACAGACTATTTACCGTATATCTGGTATCACAAAAAATAACTTTCCTGAGCTGGATATATTTAGTCATTCTAAGACAAGACCAAAATACACCCTAACTTCTGAATCTATTTGCACATTCGTATTTATATAGTTTTTGAACGAGTTTTAGATTTTTTAACTCCTGGATGTTGCTGGAGTCACGCTGAAGTTCACAGACCCAGACCAAACAAGATTTGCACTCTCCGCCGCTTCTCAACTTGGCCCATTTAAACAGCAGAGGCTCGGAGAGCGGAGCAGTGCAGGGAGGTCCGCAAGGGACGGTGCTTCATGGCCCAAATCAAGGACCCAAGTCACAAATAACCCATCCAACTCAAACCTCTTTCTGTTCCAGTTGGTTTATAAGCTGCACAGTGCAGGGTCACATTAAACTTTATGTTCAAACAGGTTACTTTATTTTAATTTTAAAGCTAAATAAAAACTGGGACTGCATGTCAATTATTGTATTAACAGATTGAGATCAGACTTTCCACAAATGTCCACAACAATCTGTCCTGAGTGTCCAAATTCACCTTCAGTGACCTCTGTCACCCCACAAATGCACTCTACAACCTGTTTTGCTTTACTTTTACTGATTTGTTGGCTGTTTTGAAGCATTTCAGAGTTTTGATTAGACATCCTTCTGAAGAAACACAGCTTGCATTTTACAAGACTCGTGAGCTAGCTAGTCTTAACAGAGCCAAGGTCATAGCTGTTTACATCTTAAACAGCTCAAACTTCTAAACTGCCATGGCAGTTCATGCAATATCAATTTATAAACATTGTCAGTTTCACTTATTTTGGTTATTTCAGCAGAAATACTAAAAAAATGCCCATGTTGTATGAAACACCAAAATGTAAAAGTTGGTTTAGTATGGCAGTGATTAACATTGGTTTTTGCTGCACTTAGACTAGCCGTTAGCACATCAGTCCTGATGGATGTAGACCACTTGTCTGAACAGAGGTCATTCATCCAGTAAGGTAGTGTATTAGGACTGTTGATCTACATTGTCATCGATACAAAATGCAAAAATCAATAGAATAACTATTTATCAAATGCACTTTTATTTTGAAAGTACCACCGACGTGCTGTTTTCCACCACTTCCTGCACGTCATCAAACCTGTTAGGTGAAGAAGTTCCTCATGGCGAGCAAAGCTCGTCTCTCCCCTAGCGAATGAGTATAGTTTCATATCAATCAGTGGATCCTAAATCTAATCTAAATGGGTTTGTGGCTGATTTTGAAATATTAGCTAACATTGTAGTGCAGTTCACTACTTCGGTATAATGTTGTATGATGATCAGACTAGTTTACACCCCTAGTATTCATAACTTTCAGGGAGAAACATTATTGTAAATCATTACTCTAAGCATTATTTTCATTTCATCATATATATATTCTGTATGTATTCTTTACCATGAAAACTAAACATCAGAAACAGCAGATGTTTAACCATTAATGGCAATAGTGAGCAGATGTAAACACATGAGGCCCAACTTAGGTCTTATATGTCAAAGGTAATGTTCCACTGTCCTGTTGTTTGAAATGTGGTAACAAAGAGAAGGTCCTGCTTTAGGTCGAACTGAAGATATTCATTTATGACTAAATGCATCCTGATTCTAACCTACTTACACCAACCAGCAGGTTTGTCTCATCAAATGATGTTAATTGGAGCGTTTGAGCCTCAAGCCTTTACCAAACATAAGTTTCACTTTTTAATCCAAGTTTTTTTGCAGAATTTCCTTTAACATGTAAAACCACAAACTGTAATATTTATATTTGACTAACCTGTGTAAAAACCTGTTGCTTCAACTAAAGCTAAACCAAAACCTTGGACCACAGTTTCTGAAAGCATTTTTCTTTCCTCCACGCCGTCTGCGGGGCAGGTTCCCCTGAGCTCCTGGAGCTTATGAGCAAAAACCACATCTGACCCTCATTCAGCGACGAACCACCCAGGTGGATCTACCACCAACACATGGAATAGCCATTCCAGCAGCAGAGGAGGGGTCCAACAGCGCTGTGTGTCAAGAGCTTATAAATCAGCCCAAACTACCTCTGACACACACAGGAAGGAGGCTCGCCACACCGCAGGCGGAATCGGTGCAAAAACCGGCCAGAGTCCACAGCTTGGCCGGGATTGGCACAATAACAGGCGAGCAAACACACGGCAGCAGAGGATGGTTGGAGTCTGACGTTTGTTTCCTTTTGGAGATGAAACACTGTGATGTCTGAGGGTAATGTAATGGAGTTAGTGGCTTTATGGATTCAAGCAAAGTAGAGTTTATGCTTACAGATGGAGAGAAGACCTAGAAAGGTGACCTGATGTCACTTATCCCAATCCTCTGTATGAAAAATGAAACTGAGAGGCAACACTGTTCACCTGAACAATAATGTCACTTTCCACGTGTTGTTGAGCACACTGAACTGTAGTGCTGATATAAATCATGAGCTGTTGACATTTACACTGCATGTTTACAAAGCCGTTTCACGGAAGTGGAACACTACGTTTCAGATGTGAAGCCCTCTCTGAATCTCTGTTCACTGAGCCAGCTCTCACCACATCGAAATGTCTCGATGGAAACCTCGCCGATAGTGCGTTGGCGCCGCAGGGCGCACAACTGGAAGAGCCCTGGTAAAACTAGTCATACAGGGGACACCTATGCCGACACCCACTGCCCGCGCGGCTCTGGTCGTGACTCATTTTTGAGGGCTAATCACAAAGGAGTTCCCCAAACATGTATAGTGACAATACTCAAGCTTTCATATCTTCAGAAATTGGTGTTAAATGAGTACATTCTTTCCATCAACATACAAATTGTTGTGATGTTTGAGGAAACCTCATTGAAACTTTCTGCCTTCTCTGACCTCCTCATCTTCAATCCTTTTCCTATAAAATTCACAGTCAATTGGTAAATGCCCAAACTATTATATTTTAAACATTAATTGCTATTTTGATGTTAGGTTCTGTTGTTGATCTTGCACAACTGTAATGTCTTTAGTCACATTTTAGACCAAGATAGTACAGAGAAACAACCAAAATTGCTGAAGGATCTGACATTCCTGGTTAGACTGTAGAGACATCTTTTTTGGGAACACCATAGGATTCCTCTGGAAGAGCTGGCACAAGTGGCTGGGGAGGAAGACGTTGCTTTGGCTGTTGTCCCTGCGACTCAGCTCCTGATAAAAGGAAGAAAATGAATGAATGAATGAATGAATGAATGAATGAATGAATGAATGAATGAATGAATGAAATCTTTATTTTGAACACAAATGGAAATGCCACGCTATAACTAAAAATATTGATTGATATCCGTGTCCCAGCGACAATCAGCAAAAATACAGTATGCCATGTGTGGAACGCCTTGAGGCAGACTGCTTTTGCTAAGTAGTTTGGTTGGTTCAGGTCATTACGCTATTGAAAAATTTGGACAACGCACGGCAGGATTAGCTGCACAGCTTGTTGTGATGGAGGGAACTGTCCCTACACAACGTTAAGACAGCAGAGGATGACAATGACTTTTAAATAAAGATTTGTGTTTACAGGCGTGTTCCAGATGGTAATTTTACATATATAGGATGGCTTGCCAGGCCAAGGGAAAGCAGGAATGTGACAAGTGTTTTTCCATTTTCACGTGTGAGTTTGAGTGGGCGTGGCCAGCTACGGCTTGTTTTCCTTAAAGTGACAGAACCCTGTAACAGCTCATTCTGGAAGGTACTGAAAATGTAAAGACTAAAGCTGCTGAAATCACTTTTTTGAGAGTGATTTCATGCAACAAATGATATGATCGTGTTTTGTATAAAGCATGGAACTATTCTACATAAAAAAGGAAAATCCCAACACGTACCCTTTAAATTTCTGCACACTTGTATTCTTGTTTATTCAAGAGGTCCATGTAGAAAATAATCTGGCACAAATCAAATCTTCTTTCGTGGTTAAAATAAAGGTTTTAGTGAAAATCAGAAATTGAAATTACAGTGGGTACGGAAAGTATTCAGACCCCCGTCAATTATTCACTCTTTGTTAGTCCAGCCATTTTCTAAAATTTATTTTTCCTCAGTGTACACACAGCGCCCCATATTGATATGAAACACAGAATATTTTTAATAAATGCTTTTTTTTTTTTTTTAAGACTCAAACATAACATGGTCCTGGGTATTCAGACCATGTGCTGTGACACTCATATTTAACTCAGGTGTTTTCTATTCCTTCTGATCATCCTTGAGATGGTCCCACACCTTCATTGGAGTCCAGCTGTGTTTGATTATACTGACTGGACCTGATTAGGAAAGCCACACACCTGTCTATATGAGACCTTACAGCTCACCATGCAAGTCAGAGCAAATGAGGTCAAAGGAACTGCCTGACGAGCTCAGAGACAGAATTGTGGCGAGGCACAGATCTGGCTAAGGTTACAAAAACATCTTTGCTGCATTTAAGGATCCTAATAGCAAAGTAGCCTTCATAAAACTTAAATGGAAGACGTTTGGGTTGACCAGAACCCTGTTTGGGTTGACCAGAACCCCTCTTAGAGTAGGCGTCCTGCCAATCTGAGCTATCAGGGGAGAAGAGCCTTGGTGAGAGAGGTAAAGAAGAATCCAAAGATCACTGTGGCTGAGCTCCAGAGATGCAGTCAGGAGATGGGAGAAAGTTGTAGAAAGTCAGCCATCACTGAAACCCTCCACCAGTCAGGGCTTTATGGCAGAGCGGCCTGTCAGAGGCCTCTCCTCAGTGCAAAACACATGAAAGCTCACATGGAGTTTGATAAAATACATCTGAATTCTAAGCGGTATGTGTGGAGAAAACAGGCACTTCTCATCACTTGTCCAATATAGTCCCCAGAGTGAAGCATGGTGGTGGCAACATCATGCTGTGGGGGTGTTTTTCAGCTGCAGAGACAGGATGACTGGCTGTGTTCGAGGGAACGATGAATGTGGCCAAGTACAGAGATACCCTGGTCATGAACTTTCTCCAGAGTGCTGCAGGACCAACTGGGCCGAAGGTTTAACTTCCAACATGACAATGACCCTAAGCACGCAGCTAAAATAATAAAGGAGTGGCTTCACGGCAACTCTGTGACTGTTCTTGAATGGCCCAGCCAGAGTCCTGACTTGAACCCAATGGAGCATCTCTGGAGAGACCTAAAAATGCCTGTCCACCAACGTTCACCATCCAACCTGATAGAGCTAAACAGGATCTGCAAGGAGGAA